ATCATCTTAGCAGGTTAGTGAATATCTCTTCCAACTGCTGTTGTCTTTGCACACTTGTGACAATGAGGATCCAAGTTTTATGTAGTTTTGTTCTATGGACAACTGATTATCATAAATGATGAAGTTGGTTGACAATGGGTCGGCAATGTTGGCATTTATGCTGAGGACACCAGATTGATTTCTTATTACGGAAGATTGAATTGCTTTTGTGGCAGTTAATAATGTCGCTATATAAATCTTTTTTTTTTTTGGCACGCTGTTCGGTCCATTGCTAAATCTACGAGAAGATCTAGAACTATTAGATCCTTAATAACTCCGACATGCCACGTTAGTTTGAGTATAGCCCTATCCCTTCCAACTTGTCCTACCAAGATCAAAACACTTATGAAAGAGTGTTTCTTTAGGTCTATTCAAATCATATGCAATGGCCCAAGTCATTCTTCCCTTGATCTATTCTTAATTTGTGCAACCTCCATTCTTGATATATATTCTCATTTCATATTTTACATCATTTTAGGATGAAACTACATCCATCTTAGCATTGCATTTCTGCTTTGTTCATCTTACGGAATTTGTCCTGTAATAGCCTAACACTCACGCTTGCAAGTCTAATCACTATTTCGTACAATGTCATTAACCTTATACGAACCTTCTAATCACACAGGATTAATCCCGTAATATTTTGATTTCATCCAACCTGTTCTAACCCTGTGTATCATATTTTCTTCAATTTTTTCCTTTGTTAATAATAGGACGTGCACTATATCCGTGAATTTTACAGAGAAACTTTTTTAGTATACCCAATGACAATAAAGGGCCAGATTAAATTATAGGAATTGTCTTGCTTAAAATGCCTCACTGATGAGGACATTCCATTTCATAGATATTAAGAGCTATAACTTTCCTGCTTCTCAAGGTTCAATGATGTTTCATCTTATTAGCTATTGAGTAAAGCAAATAATATGCAAATGCTGTTGCTTGTATTTGCGCCCATAATCTGATATTGGATGGGCGATCTGGATATTTATCTGAACTCCTGCCTAGTTGCATATCACGGCATGTAGCTTCCTGAAGTCTTATGCAGTAATAACACCTCCAGCTTGAACCTCAATGACCTGAACTGTTACGAGGAGAACTTTTAATATCTTTATTAAAAATATATAATATGAAGATCATTGTACATCTTTCTCCGGGACTTGGCTGAATTTTCTGGGTTGAGTCATGACTCATGCGCTTGCTCTTTGGCCTGAAATTTCTTCATTCTTTGCCCTTTATTGCAAAAACACGTTCATCTGTTTTAACGGTTGATCTTTAAATCCAAAAAAATTTATCAACTTCCCCTAACACAAGTTTATCGATAGGTGTTTCGCGCGGGTTAATTCGCTAACAATTAAAAAAGGGTCAGACGATTGTGTAAGGGACGAAACCTCTTGAGACAAAGTCCCAAAAATGGGTGTTCTTTTATTGGCGATGAACTTTACAATTGGAGACGAAAAACAACGTGCCTCCAAGAGGCGCAAGCACACGAGTTACAGAAAGAAAAGTGTTTAAATCTAAAAGCTAAGGAAATGAAAGTTACATATTCTCTGTTCGAGAGTTTTGGATTCGGTCCTTTACTTCTACGTCCTTTCTCCCTTTTATACCTCATAGACGATCCCTTTGTGATTAACTACTCTGAAAACTGCTGGTCGTCCTATAACTACCCACTTTCTTTGTAGTGGCCATTTTGTCATGAAACTGCCTTTTAACTGCTGCCATTATCTTTCATCGTTCAACCGCTTTCGATTGAATTCCTTGAGTTGTGGAACGTGATAGGGCTACTTTAACAACTGCCTTGATAACTGCATTTCTTGATAACCACAATGCGTTATGTTTGTTGATACCTTGGGCGACTTGAAGGTTTGGGCGAGAATAGAATAACAGCTCTGGGCGACCGTATGACACTCCATTCGTTCAGATTCTGGGCGACTTGCAAACTTGGGCGATGGCGTTACCGCATTCTTGGGCCCCTTATTTGGGCCTTCACCTTGATTCGTTCGATTGGACTTCGTTCTTTAGGCTATCTGATTTGAGGATCCTCCAATTGGGCTTTACTCCTTGGGTTGTTCGATTTGGGCTGAATTTTTATGTGTCAACAATTACCCCCCAATATGGCAGAAATAATAATAATTATTAAATTTTGCCATATTCACTTCATGTTTCTAGCAACGTTCGAAATTTCCAAGAATTTCAATCATTGTTTCCTTCTATAACTTGAAAAAGTGCGTCGTTTTGCAAACCCTTATAAACCCCAAACACACCATTTCACTGCTACCAAACCACGCCTCATATTTTTGCATCTCTTTCACGATTCACTGTTTATCTTTTGCTTTCTTGTTACGTAACCTTGAAAAATTTCGTTCCTTCTCCAATGGCTGCTTCACAATCTCAAGCTAGTAACTCCTTTAGTTTTGATGACTTTCAGAAACTTCTGAGTCGCCCATACATAACTCTAAGTTTTCTCGCGCCCGCCGATGTTGGACGTAATGAGTTTTACTTGGGTCCTTTCTTCAACAATGCAGAGGCAGTTGAACAAGCGGCGGTAGGTCAGCTGTTTCCTTGCACTCATGGCCCTCCTTTTCTAAACTCTCTGCCGCTGGGGCCACTTCGCGAAAGAGGTATTCGCACTTGGCCTAAATCTGATGTAGCTTTTCGTAGGTGGCATACTCGCCTGGTGGGCCATGGTCCTACTAAGGCACTTTTTGATAGCGCTAGGATTTCTGATTTGTTAGAAGTCTCTATTCGCCCCCCTACTTTTGATTCAGCGCTCTTTTCGATTGCTTTGAGTTTTTGGTCCCCTGAGTACAACACCTTTATCTTTCCTCTTGGCCCCATGTCTATCACGTTAAGGGATGTTGGGGCCCTGGTGAATTTACCACCTTTGGGCGATACCATTTTCTCAGGTATCTTAGTTTCTGGTGGCGCCCCACAGTTCGGTAAAAACTAAACCGATTCTTATTCAAGCCTGCAGACCCTCCATAATCATTCGAGTGCTGAGCCTACCCATACTGAGCGAGTGGCCTTCCTTTTAGTTTGACTTTGTAAATATGTGTTATGCGTGCCAAGTATAAAGCCTTCTCTGAGTTATTTACCTATAGCGCACGAATTGGCGCGTGGCAGGCCTTTGAATTTATGTTCTTTGTTTTTGGCTGCTCTTTATAGAGGTATGACTTTTCTTCAAGCTCAATTGAAGAATTGTGCATCTCCCACTGGCAGTGGACCTCTTTGGTTCACTCAACTGTGGTTGAGATCCTATTTTCCATCGCTTGGTGCTCCATCCATTTCTCGTTCTTCTGCTAGCTGTTACGGGCTAGCTATGGAGCCCTTAACTCTTGTAAATATGTCCAGAAGGGACATTTTTTTATTCTTTTATTCTTTAGATTCAATCTCTTCCTTCTTTCCTTTTCCTCATTTCTTGACTCCAAACTATGTACATCCCCCTTCCACTATAGATAACGCGAGCACCTCCCTGCTCATTTGGA